ATAACAAAAATAGCCCTTCAATAGTATACGAAGTTGGCCACGAGACTGTTGCAGCTAAAAAGCGTCCGTAGAGACATCGTGGCGGGATCAGAACGCTCACGATATGATATACGAATATTAATAATAGCCGAATCGAGTTGAACAGAAACGACTGCAATATTTATTATTATTATTAAATAATAAATATTATTAAAACTATATTAATTATAATATTACCTGTAATTAACTGTAATTATTACCTGTATTAAAAATGACCTCTCTTTACTTTTGCGCCTTATCGACTCATCCGATACGTTCGCCTTTTGGGAAATGAATTGCAAATTAAATACCTATAATTTATTATTGTTGTATATTATTTATTATTATTATTACGCTCCAATAATGACGTCATTTCAAGCTCTCCAGTAATGACGTCATTTTTTAACGCTTCAATAATGACGTCATTTTAAGCGCTCCAATAATGACGTCATTTTAAGCGCTCCAATAATGACGTCATTATTCTAAAAACATAATAACTATGCATTAAACAACAACAACAACAAACACAATAACAATACTAACTAATAATAAATAATAATAATAATAAAATAACCTTATTAATAATCTTCACCTCCCGCAAACTCCAGCAGTCCATACCGAACGCACACACGACCACCGCAGACATCGCATACAAATCAACGTACTTCGAGAAGTAATATCCATACCGCGTGTTTCCATACAACCACAATCCCAAATTTCCGTAGAACTGCAGTCCGCTATCACCTGATTATTCATTTTTAGTTTTTTACTAACGCATTGCTGTCATTAATTACTTAATTACTTGATTATTTTTACCTATCCTTATCACCTTATTACCCTCCTTGTCACTCCCCTTATCACCCTACCACCCTCCCTATCACCATATCCCTCTACTTACCACTCCCTCTATCACCTTATCACTCTCCCCATCACCTTATTACCCTCCCTATCACCATATCACCCTCCCTATCACCATTTCACCCTCCCTCTCACCTTATCACTCTCCCTATCACCATATCCCTCTACCTATCACTCTCCCTATCACCTTATCATCCTCCTTATCACTCTATCCATCCCCTTATCACCTAATCACTGCCCTTATCACCTTATCACTCCCTTATCACCAAAACTCACCATAAAAGAAGAACANCCCGCCAATAATACCCACCGTTCTCCTCGTCGTAAATAACCTCTGATATTTCGTCGGAAATGAAATGGCCATTAATCGATTCGACGACATAAAGAAGTGTACTAATATCGCTGAATAGTAACACGAGTCCACTGTGTAGCCGATCACCAGATTAAACTTGTTCACGTGCGGCACTCCCCTGCAATTAATTATTAATGTTATAATTAATTATAATTAATTAATTATATCATTATTATAATCATATGTTATAATTAATTATAGTTATAATTAGTTATAACTGTTATAAACTTATAATAAGTATAATAGGTACAAAGTCATAAAACCTATAATAATAAATAATAACAATATTACTAGTAATGAATAATAAATAATAATAACGATAATAATAAATAATAATTAATAATAATAATTAATAATAATAATAAATAATAATAATAAATAATAATAATAAATATAAAAACGAACTGTATTTTCTCAACGGTGCAATACGTCGCAAAAACGATTTCCACCAGCAGATTCGAAGCGGCCATCGCGGCACACAGCAGACCGTACGGACCGTGTAGCACACTACGCTTGTACACCAGGTACAGCCCATAGCCGTTCGTCAAAATGCCCACAAACGAAACCTGAAATTAATTTCAGGTCAGGTCATTCACAGAAATTAATTTCAGGTCACAAAAATATTTCGCCACTCAGTTCACAATCCC